TAGGTAGCATGGGGGGTCGTATTTTTCAGGAGATGATCACAACGCGATGGCGTGCCCTGGCTGCAGCATGTTCGCAACAGATCACTTAGGTTCTGGTGCGGATGCCGCGTACGTGACGTCGCTTGAAACACCGCTGCAATATACTGATCTCTTTTTGACAAGAGTGCAACAGTCGTTATCACAGGAGGCAGTCGGGCGTTCGAGGCGGCGCCAGCCCGCTTTCAACCGATCGTTGTGACGTCGAAGTTTCAATGGGCGGTGGGAAAGGGGCTGGCTCTGAGCCAAAACTCATACGCCGCTGACCCATCCGACTGATTTCAATGATAGCAGGTGTGTGCCTGTCGTAATTAATATAACTTCAATATTGAATGATATTTCAGGTCGTTATCTTGTTGTATATCTGTCAATTCCTGGTACGAGCAATGTGGCAGCTCCGAATCGATCCCGATAGTTCGGCGATTCCAGTTCTTGACGGCTGCTGGGGACCTGCTTGGTGCCATTTTGCTGATATGCTGTTTCTGGCTTGCTGCCAATGTCTACGGAATGCACGTGGAAGAGCAATATTTCAATGATCGACAATTTGGGATCCACTAGCCTCTGTGGCTCTACCGTGTGGGACTTTTTAGGATACCAGTTACTCTTAGGATACCAGGTACTCCTACTCACCCAGCAAGCTCACTAATAGAGTACATGGGAGCGGCGTCAGAGGAAATATACCGGCCCACAGGAGGCCAGACTTTAATTTGCAACGATTAGATGTTTCTTGGCTACAGCGCGAGCTCTTGGACTTATCGTGCCCACACGGTGATATATGGGTTATCGGTCCTGTGGCAGAGATTGATCTCACCATTTCGACCTTTTGTTAGGCGCTACTTATTTCTCAAGAGGAAGTGAGCACGATGGCTGAGGGCGGGCTGTAAGCACAAACGTCATTGGTGGAAGTGCTGAGTAGAGTTGGCTAAACGCCTTCTCGCACCCTTCCACCCATGACGTTGCAACATGGACAGCCCCCCTCAGCCATCGTTCCCACTGCCTTTCGTTGTTTCCTTTGCAGTAATGCGTACAAAGCATGTACATTGATGGTACACTAGACGCAGCGTTCATAGTTTGCGGTAAGAAAGAAAGATTCCGCAGTCCGAGGAATCGCTGCTACCCTATCTGCACGCTTGGTTCAGTTTCCAAGGGGTGAAGTTCTTCATTTGCCATGTTATACTGCACTTCCCGCGTAATGAACCTTCGCTCTCTAATGGCTTGCCCGCTTGGCGTCGTGTTCTGCGCGCTTCGCGAGCGTCCTACAATCGGCGGGGGTGGGGGCTGTACAAGGATATGAGTTGCGATACACCCGTTTGTCGGACTGCAGAGTCTTCCTTAGGCAGCGTTCAGATGACGCGTATCGGCGCGCTGCAACGCGCTGTAGCGCGCGTCGACGCAACGCGCATTCGTGGAACTGCGAGCGAATTCCGAATTATGAACGCTACCTGAGAATTTCGCCTGTATCATATTAATTCTGCTATGGATTTTGTTAGACTTAAATATCCTGAGCCCTTTGTGAGCAATACGGTAATAATTATGAGAAAATGTTGTTGATTTTGCTCAAGGTATTTTTATTTGTTGACGTGTGTGTGTAATTTACAATTTTATTTAACATCTATGTACATGTGGTCGCAATCAGTAGGGGCGGTGTCAGGAGGGGCGGAATGTGCCCCGCCTCCTGCTGCCTTTCTATTAGCGATCGATTTAGGAAAAAAGCAACCTGTGGTGAAAACGCGGCGGGTGGGCCCTCTGCATGCCTCCTGACACCGCCCCGACTCATCGCGACGATTTCAACCGTACGCACGGTTACTGTACCGCCTTCTAGTCTCCATCACAGTCATAGTCACAATGAACGAATGCGCGTTCAATAAAGTCGAGCTTCAGTAGTTTCTTCTCCAACGGATGACAGATGTCGTGTGTAATCTAAAACTCTTATGGTCTTATGGTGGGTAACAATGAAGTTATTCAAGGCGTGTCAGCGGTGCGCAGGATTTGGCGCGGTACCAGCCTGATTTCCACCACTCGTTGCGGCTTTGAACGTTCAATGAATGGTGGGAGAAAGCCTGACTTTGCGGCGAGAACCCACGCGTCGCTGACATGCCTCGACTGACATCAGGGATAACGCCTATGGGATCTGAGTCGTCATGCTACTCTGCTGAGGCTATTGGTTGATTATTATCCACCCTTACCACAATAATATCTATTGTGGTAGGCTGTTTCTGGACCTTGCGGACACAATCCATGCTCATTGTATGGGCGGAGTTAGTTGATATTTCCGTCATCCTCGTTGGAGCATCCCTCCTCTGTAGCGCTTCAGAACGAGGTGCGCCTACGAGGAAGGCATCGTGATGCCCCTGACTCTGCCCATACGAACTGTGGATTCATGCCCAGTAGAGGTGGTGTTAGTATCAAAAGAAAACACTGGTGAGAAGGAAACTTGAGGGGTTGAAACAATCAAAGAGTTGAACATACCTTCAGGGGAAGATTCTCGTCCAAAACTATATGTATCTCGACTGTGGCTTGGGGGCCAGTGTGATACACCATTACGTGGTCGATACACCTGAGATAATTTGAAAATAGATTTTGATTTGAGTTTCGAATGTGAAGTTCAGCGGGGTTCAGGGGGGGGGGGGGGTGGAAGGCATATAGCATACCTGAAACAGGAGAAAAAGGTGACAAAAAAGGTAACGGTAACACGTACCAGGAAGGAGCAAATTGCTCTTGAAGGCACATACAACTTCTTCCAACGAAAAAATACGACCTCCCTATGTGTTTCACATAACGATGCTGTACTCTGTATCCAGCACAAGTTGGAGTAGAACAGCGCTCAAACTATCCTCCACGAGATATACAACCAGGACTCGGCCCATGTTGAAGATAACTTACAGGTTCTCGGTCGCTGGAGGAGAGAGACTGATAGCAGTGGATTTTCACCGTGCTGTACACTCGCCGCCCCTAGTTGGCGGGGTAGCAAACTCCAACTTCTGGTAGTTCATCGGAGGAGAAGTTTATGGGAAAGAATGGGTGTTTAAGGGAAATTCTCCCCGACGCCAGGGCATGCCCTGTGTACGATGAAACCATTTCCTCTCCCACTCCTAACCTTTTCCTCTCTCACTCCTAACCTTTCTCGCTCTCTCGTCCTAATGCAGAAGCTTGACATTCATAGCAACTCAGAGCAAAAATGGCAACATTTGCTGTTGCTAACGAAAGATTCAGCAAAGAAGAATCATCGATGTGGAGGGGGAGGGATAGTACTCGGTCACAGCGAGGGAGCTCTATGTGGTTTGTGAGGGTTGTATCTTGTTTCAAGGGAGGTTTTTCCGAGTCGCGAGAGAATTCTCCCGGTTCTTGAGTTTTCGCGTTTCTTTCCGTTGCCTATACACTTCCCCCCCCCTCCCCACCTTTATCTCTCCGGTTGCCGGAACCTCAGGACTACTAAATAACTACCATTTCTGATGGCTGATTTTGGTAGTTGATTGATGACGGCCTTTTCTCCCTCTACCTTCTCCGCCTGTTGACGCCTGTTTACCAGTTCTTCACTTTTCCTGGGGAACTGGAAAAATTCTGAGAAATCGGGGAGATCCATCAGGATTTCGGCAAGAAGATGGACACATAGCACGAGAAATGAGGAAGGGGAGGGGGGTCGTACTGAAGGAAGTACATATCGAGCGGAGCCCTACTGACACCACCACCTCATACCGATGATGTGCCTGTTCTGTAGAGGACAAGAACTTCCCATACTATGAAACATTTATAGCACATTTGCGTTCCACCACATGTCCCTACATTACCGTTTAATTTACGGTTCTTCCAGGTAGACACTCACATTAACTTGTCCCCAGCAGTTCCCATTAATACTGCCCACTAAAATATACCAATATCGGTTCAGAGCCATCCGGTAACGGGTTTCTAATGGAAGCCGACGAAGGCATACCTTAGTGGCTCAAAGGGAATTATCGGCAATGGTCAACTTACCCTTTACTTACTAAGCAATTTGCTGGAAAGTAAGAATGTGGTGCGCTCACCTTATTCGTTCGTCATGTTCAATAACGATTTTGAGGATTCTGCTGAGCTCATCTCTCTCACCGCGAACACCGACGAGTATTGGAACATATCCAAGAGCATTGTTGAACCATGAAAACGCAATAGATCCACTGAAATTCGTTTCTTGGGATGAGATCTATTAATTCCGAGTAATTTCATTTACAAAGAACTTCAAATTTAAGGTACAGTTCATGTCGATCTTACGGTGGAGAAGCTCAACCATGACGCTGTTTGGCTTGGAGGGAGCGTTCCCCTGATTCACTGGTTTCTTTTACCAACTCCCCTTGAATTAAACGTCTCATCTTGATGGGAAGTGTATCTTGTAAGGAACTGTTTGTGTCATTGCACAGTTTTACAAGTATTTACAGGTCTTCACTGGAGGCATCGACAGTGATCGATGTCAACAAGCAAGGTGCCCCCACAAAGCCGAATTGCGCTTCAGCCATCAGCGTAAG